ACACAGCTTCCAAGGACATGTACCAAGGAGGAGCTGATCGAGTATTTGTTGAATGTGACAGATGACCTTGGAGTAGATGGAGTTGTTTCCGTAAAGTGTCAAACTATGCAGTGGTGGAAATAGGATTGAAGTACATTATCCACGACACCTTGGAGACAGGAAGAGCAAGAGATGGGGGTGGGGGTGACTAACCAAGGAGACTAGTATGATGTTTTAGGACAAGAGTCCATGAACAATGGCCCCAAACTATGCTAAACCTGGCCCACCACTTGTTTTTGTAAATAAAGTTTTACTGGAACACGGCCACACCCATTTGCTACGTATCTCACTCTGTGGCTGCTTTCGTGCTATAAGTGCAGCAGACACGGCAGAGCCCGCAAAATAAAACCTAATTTCCTCTCTGGGCGTTTACAGAAAAAAAGTTTGATGGCCCCTTTCTTAGGGTAAGATGAAAAGCTTTGGCTTGGGATGAGATGTTTGAAATAAAATGAGAAGAGCAAGTGCTTCAAACATCAGGAAGGAGGAATTGGCAGGCCTTGGTGACAGATTGTACGTAGGGGGGTTTTGCCATATAAAGGTTAGAGATGCAGCGTCTTCATCACGGGCAGAGTGATGCGGGAAGACAGCTTTCCTGAAATCTGGGGATGAGTGCAAGATCCTGGTTTCCTAGACTAGAGGGAGCTGGGTCTGTCACCCCTGGTGGCCTGAGCCCCTTCGTGGGAGGCCCCTGCAGTTCCATTCGTTGAGCACACGGTGCTAAGCGCCAGCACCCTGGAGAGATCCAGAGATGTGCAGCCCACACGCAAATTGATTGAGATCATCCCTTGGGACGTTTTGGATGGCGAGTCCCTAATCTCTGTCACTGCACTGCATGGAGGTTGATTTTCAATTTACCTTCTTTGTTCTGAATCTTAGATGTTTTGATTCTTAATTCAGAACATTCATCTTGAGTGGATTCAGAGATTCAAATTCGATGATAAATTCATGTTTGTTGAGAAGTTTTGGAGGGCGGAGGAAGATGTTGTCAGCTAAGGTTTTGAATAATGTCTTGTTTGACATTTTAGACTCAAAGTGGGCTGAACTACAGATCAACACATATACATGTTACGTGATAGAAAGATGCAGTCTGTGTATAAATAGATTGTGCATATATTAAAAAATAGAAACCTGGAAAGAAAGGTAGTAGGGAAGCAAAGTTAAAGGGGCTTATAAACAAAGGGTCCTACCCCTGTTGCCTTCCTGTGTCCCACCTCCAGGTCTAGTAGGGAGGGGCTGGGAGAAGAAAAGGAAAATTTTAGTATTTACTCTACTTAGGCCTGATGCTAGGTAATATGTACACACACACACACACACACACTCATACACACATGTACACATACACGTACACACATATATGTACACACATGCCCATGTCCTCATTTTACACATGGAGACACTGAGTCACAGAAAAGCTAAGTACTTTGCTAAAGGTTATTTATTAGAAAGTGGAAGAAGCATGATTCAGACTCATCTCCGACTTATGCAGAATCCCAGGCTCTAACTACTCTGCTTATCTGTTTGCTTTTCTTGGTTATCTCTGCATCCTCCCCTGGCATTTAGTATTCAAATGAGGTCTCTTTTTAAAAAATTGGTAGTTTAAGATGTGCCATTTTTTTATGCTTTTTGTTTTAAGTTTTAGATGTTAAGTCCTGCTTTTCATTTCCAAATGCTTGTTAGATACCGGAAGTGTGCCAGGCCCTGGGGATAGAGATTGGGTATTGGACAGTGCCATGTAACATGTGATCTGCAGACTGTCATTGGTCCCTGTATTAAGGTTATCCAGAAAAACAGAACTAGTGTGTGTGTGTGTGTGTGTGTACACACCTGTTCATTTTAAGGAATTGGCTTCCATGGTTATGGAGGCCAACCCAGTGTCCAGACTCTGCGGAGCAAGCTGGAGACCCAGGGGAGCCAAGATGTAGTTTCCGTCTGAGTCCGAAGGCCCGAGAACTGGGAGAGCCGGTGGTGTAGTTTCAGTCCAAATGCCAGCAGGCTTGAGACCCGGGGAGAGCTGACAATTCAGTGCCAGTCTGAAGGCAACAAAAAGACGGTACCCCAGTTCAAGGGCAGTCAGGGAGGAGGGATTTTCTCTTATTCAGGGGACAGTTAGCCTTTTTGTTCTGTTCAGGCCTTCACCTGATTGGGCGATGCCCACCCACATTGGGGAAGGATATCTGCTTTATTCAGGCTACTGATTTAAATGTTAATCTCATCCAAAGTCACCTTCACAGAAACACCCAGAGTAATGTTTGACCATATATATCTGGGTACCCCATGGCTCAGTCAAGTTGACACTCAAAATGTGTCGCCACAGTCCCTAAACCATTACTGGTCTGCAGCAAAATCTGTGTGGAACTTGAGAATAGGCATTTAGAGACTTCTAGAGCATGTGGACTTTGTGGCAGCAACAAGAGTGCGATCGGTAGACTTGTCCTGGTGAACAGGGTGTAGACCAACTTGTCGAGAATCCAAGTGATGAGCTGCAGGTGAGGCAAGCTCTATGCTACCCATGTGCAGTGGGGCCAACTTTTTGTCCAGGGTGGATTAGGGGAGGAAAGCTAGTTCTTCACCACAGTAGTTTGAGAACTACCAGTGTGGACACAGTTGTCTACATAGGCTATAAAACCAGCCTGTTGGGCCTTATGGTGATGACCTGTGCACACAGCTTGAGCTGTCTTCCTGGGGGTGACCAGGGCCCACAAGGCGCAGCAGGGAAGCACAGACCACACCTCAGGGGCCTGGCCATTCACTGTCCACCCTCTGCTCCTGGAGGCTCAGGAGAAGCCTGGACAAGATGTCAGGAGACTGACCAATAAACAGTCCAGAAACGAAAGCAAGAGCGAAGGTGACTGAAACTGTAATGAGCCATGAACATGGTCAAGCGAGAGCATGGCTGAGTTCAAGGTCCCAGAGACCTTGCTTACAGTCAGGCTGCAACACAAGCGGAACGTGGCCCAAGCTTTTAGTCTCAGTCTCTGCATCCGTAACAGGGATGACTGTCGCACCTCCTTGTGCTGTGATCACAGTGCAAGGCGTCATCAGCGTGCACGACCTAGCACGTGCACATCCGTGAGAGCCACTGTGCAACGTCCAGCTGTCTCCCCTGAAGGAAGCTGATGTTCGTCTTCGCCCAGCCCAGCTTGAAGGGTCGACGTTAGTTGAGAAACCACGATTGCTGTCAGCTGCCTATTCTTTTTCATTCTCAGTGGCACTAATTTGGTTTTACCAAACAGGGAGACAGGTCTCAAAAGCTTGGGCTGGCGTTTGTCATTGGCCGGCGCGGTGACAATGCAACTCTCATCAACCTGTGATTTTACGTCCCCGACAGACTCTGCCCCGGTGTTGGATTTGTGGTCGGGGGCAGTAGAATCCAGTGGGTCATATTCGTTGCATTGACAGGAGGACCCGGAGCTCAGGCATTTAACCCTGAGGCGATTAAGAGGGGGAAAAAAAGAGTCATATTTGTCAAGGCCCAAAGGCACATCAAAGAGCCCTGGGCCGAGGCCGACACAGCGAGGACAGCACGGGTGAGACGTGCAGGGGGTGACTCATCACACTCTTTGATCCTCAAGTTTTGTGAGTCACGGAGACTCTCTGGGACAGTGTGGAAGCTCAGTGGGGTTCGGGCAGGAAGGAGAGTATGGAAAAAAGAGGAGTGACTTTTTTATTTTTATTTTTGATAGACGGCTGAGAAAGGATGATTTTCTAGAGATGTGATTCTTTTGCTTGGCAGCCCCTGAGGCAGCTGCAAGTGTAGCTGGATCCCAGGATTTCTGCAGAGTGGGAATTAAAAATAAGTGACAGTTTTGGGTATGTCTTGTGTCACTGGGGTTCTTCAGTAGTAAGCATGCATTGAACACCTACTGTGTACAAGGCAATACGCTAACTGTCCTTGGCAGTTATGGTTTTTACGTTAATAATTTTTTAAATCGTTGGCTCTCTCTGAAAGTTTATTTAAGTGGAGGTTGCACAGTCTCAGGCCTAAGAGAATGGGGGAGGTGTAAATTCTGGCACCGCCATTCTGGTTATGTGACTTTGGGAGACCTACTTGTCCTCTCCAAACCTCAGTTTTTATTGCAGGGTCGTGAGATTGTTACGTGGAGTGTTGCTTGCTCTCAGTTTAATGGTAACAGTTTTTCCTGGAAAACCCTGAGATTGGCCATGCTCCTACTTTCTTCTTCCTTGTTGCTCTTCATTATTTATTGTTGGCATTAAATACATGTCTCCACCCTTCCTCCCTTTTGTCAGATATTGTGATTGGTTACCGCAAAGACAAGTAACCCAGCTTTTGCCCTCATTGAACTCCTAATCCTCATAGGAAACATTGAGTAAAACAATTTACTAAATACACCAGGACAGATACATGTTTTCATAGTGCTATGTACAAGTTACTGTTGGAATATGCTGAAGGACGTTTTGCCAGCAAATGCAGGACGATGGTTCCCCCCTGGAAGGTGATGCTTTTCAAAACAGGGTTTTGAAGGATGTCTAGGAGTTCACATAGGAAGAGCTCGATAAACTTAATTATTATTGATTACTTTCTTTTTACTCCTTCTATCTCTCTTTTGCTCTCCTCCACGCCTGTATACTTCTTCCCCCCTCCCTTTCTCTCTCTCTCTCCTCTCCTTCGCTTTCATAATGCTCTATTGTTGCGAACGTCTACCTAGAAACATGCCAAGCGGGGAGAGGAGGGCAGCGCGTTTAATTGGGAACGATTTTATTATGCTTGTCCTCTCTAAGAAGCATGCTAGTTTTTTTCACCATACTAAGTCATTCTGTTCTCAACTTTGTTCCCAGTTCAATCTGGATGCACTGATTTGTAACTCACTTTCCATCTGCTTTCCCTTAGAAGCGGGGCCGTGCGAGGAGCCTCAGTCTGTGATGCTGGATGTCTGGGTGCGTGGAGGGGCTGGGGGCTCAGTTCACTCCGCTAACTCTTCCCTGGTCTCTCCCGCCCTCAGATGGGAAGCCGGTGTCCCTGTCTCCGCTGGAGTCCCAGGCGCACAGCCCCAGGTACACGGCCTCCAGCCAGCGGGAGCGCGAGAGCCTGGAGGTGCGGGTGCGAGAGGTGGAGGAGGAGAACCGGGCCCTGCGCAGGCAGCTCAGCCTGGCCCAGGGCCGAGCCCCAGCCCATCGCCGCGGCAACCACTCCAAGACCTACTCCATGGAGGAGGGCACTGGGGACAGCGAGAACCTCCGGGCTGGCATCGTGGCAGGCAACAGCTCCGAGTGTGGGCAGCAGCCGGTCGTGGAGAAGTGCGAGGTAAAGGGCACCCGCGGCCCAGGGAGGCGGCCCTCTGACGTCCTGATCCCTCCCCCTCCCTTACACATGCCTCCTGGAAGCACAGGCGGGGGCCTGGAAAGAGCTGGCGTTCTTGACTCCAGCCTGGGTGTGAATCTGGCTTCCTCCCTGCCTTTGCTGAATGGCCTGGCAAGTCGTTTAGCTTCTCTGAGCCTCAGTTTTCCCACCTGAAAAATGGGAATAAGAAGGTCTAACCCACAGAGATATTAAGCGGAGCTAATGGATGGAACCTACCCTTTGTTTCTTAGTGGTTCATTTTGACATGTTTAGGGTTCCTACACCTAGTTGTCATCCTGAAGGGGCCTTGTTACTTAGACTGTAGTGTGAATGATGCACCTATAGTTGTGACCCTTTTGGGCATTTCCCTTGGGCCTCCTTGTCACTGCACCCTATGAACAGCTTCTGCAGTTCTGAGCCAGAGACTTGTTGCTTGTCTGAAGCAGTAATTGGAACTTTCCTGGCTTTGAATATCATTCTCCCCACCCATTTTAGAGTATAGCTTTTGTTTGTAGCAACTCTTTGGAAATGTGGAACACTTAACCAGTTCTCTGGTGCCCCGCCACCCTCACACGCCTGCACCCATGCTTATGTGTGCCCTGAACACACGCACAAACTCTCACACTCATTTCCCACTGCTTCTAGTTCTCACGGTGGAGGGGAATTAGAGCATGCCCGTGAAGAGCAAGGCCTTCGACACACAGACACACCTGGGTTTATATCCCAGCCTTGGTGGCTTCTGCTGTGAGCACTCGAGCAAGTCACCCAACCTCCCTGAAATTCAGATGTCTCATCAGTAAACTTAGGAAAATACTACCTGTTTCGTGGAGTATTTGTGAGCATTATAAGAAATGGGATGGCTATAGAAAGCCATGAGTAGTAGTGCCTGGTACATAGTACATTTTCAAAATTATGGGTAATTTTTTATTATTTTTAGTTAAATACAGATATTACCTGCTGGTTTCTTTTCTCCATTTCCTGGAATAAAGAATGTTAGACTTCAAGCTCCCTGAAGAGAGAACGCTGCAAACTGTAATATGCTGTTGGTGTGATTGGGGTTACTGGTGATATTGGTGACACCATGCAGCATGTCACTGAGGCAGAGTGGGCCCCCGCAGTGATGTAGACTAAGGTTTTTGGAGGCTCCACGGTGAGGGAGGAGACTTCAGGTGAACTGTCAAGGAGAATTCCTAAGGATGGCAGGATTTCTCGTGGTTTCTCAAGCCTGGTGGAGGTACAGATGGATGGAGAAGTGTGGAAAGGCAGATAGAGGGTATCCAAGGAGGAACGTCTCACATGAGAAGTAAAAACGTGAAACAAACATGTTGTCTTAGCAGGAAAGAATTCATAGTGAGTTGGTCTTTCAGCTAAGCCCAGAGAGCCAGGCTAGCCCGGGAAACGCGGTTCTACTGCACCGTCCTCATTTGTTTACTCATTCGTTTCACAGACAGTTATTGCACCCCTGTTATATATCTCATGCTGTTCTATGTGTTGAGAAATAGCAGTGAAGAAAAAAAAAAAAAAAAGACAAAACTCCCTTTCTTCTGATTCTGGTATCCTGTAGTGGGAGGTAGAGGAAGAGATAATAAGCACATAATGAAATACAAATGTCAGGATATGATAAATGCTGCGTATTTATTCAGCCCTGACCATATGCCATGCCCACTCTCCTTTAATCTTTAACGACCATAGTTAGTGGCTTGTATTACTTAATATCCCTGTTTTACGTCTGTGAAAATGGAGACTCAGTGATGTAGGCCAGTCTGGGGAGGTCCCTAATTTGGGGAACTTCCATTCTTGCCTTAGTGAAGGCTTGTTTGATTTCTTGCAGGTTCTCTTGTAGCAGGTGGTAATTCAGAGTGGGTTAGTTAGGATGGGAACCCTTATAACCAGTCGAGATGGCCCTGGGGTGAGGGAATTGTTGTTCACCAAGTGTATTTGCATTATTATGACTCAGGCCTACCTAAAGAACCAACTAAGAATCAAGGAGATGAAAATAGAAAAGGAAAAGAGGGGGAAAAAAAGAGTATAACAGAGGGAGAAAAGAGTTGTGTTTGCTTGGAGATTTCCTCTTCTTGCTCATGGCCTTGCTAGCCAGCAGCTTCCCTCCCTGCTCAGTTTTCTGGGAGGTCTGAGTTTTATTTCAGAAGTGGGCTCCTGCCCTGAATCCCTGCAGAATAGCGTGGGCAAAAGACCATTGGCTTCTGAAGCCGGGAGTCGTGAGTCTAATCCTGGCTCCGTGCCTGGTTTAATAGCTCTCCGGCTTTAAGCAAGTAATGTCACTTTGCTGTGTTTCATTTTCCTCATTCGTAAATCACCGGTTAAAATCAAGTTCCTGCCTCATACTCTTTCAGTGGTGACAATGCCTATTAGAACTTGCGGGAAACTCTGAGGTAGTTAGTGGTATGAGCCTTTGATTTCACTGGGAGTTATCAAAAAATCCTAACTAACAGTGGTTTCAGCAAGTTTTGCATCTTATTTCTGTTCCTGTCTAAGATGTCGGGAGGCCATCTGTGTAGCGATGTAAGTATCGGGGATGTGGATTCCTTTATCTTCCCCCCAGCCTGCGTGATTGACACTTCCAAGGTCATCTCATGGTCCGTATGACTATCAGAGCTTCAGCCGTGTTGCCCACATGCCAGCCGGCAGGAAAGAAGCAGCATTATGGCGGGACGTGTCACCTTCCTTTAAGAACACGTCTTAGAGATTTCACACCTCACTTCCTCTTAGATCCCATTGGCAAAGCTCAGTTGCAGGGCCACACTTAGCTGCCACCTAGCTAGAGGGGAGTCTGAAAAAGATAGATTTTTATTCAAGGACACCATGTTCTCCGGTAACATTTTAGAGTCCCAACGAACATTCTCTGCCACGCGGGTGGTTCCTGAACTTGGTCGTGCATTAGGACTATATATCAAAAATGCACATCCATTGGGACATGCCCCAGACCTGCTGATTGACAGTCTCTGGGAGTGGGACCCAAGAATATGGATATTAAAATAAAAATCTACCTAGGTGATTCTGGGATAGGACAGACTATTTGGAAACCATTGCTTTAAGGCACAACACGTATGAATAATGCACTTCTCTCTGTCCCTGTGTTCTTTGAAAGATAAAATAGCAATATAGGGATTCAGACCTTGAACTTGTTGACTCTTACAATAACTTACTTTCTGGTGTTTTGACTTGCACCTGAGAATTAGATTTTAATTATTTGTTTTTATTCTCTTTCTCTGTGTTTCTTAATCGTGTTACTTCTTAGACCCTTAGAAAGTTATTTTTGGTAGAATTCTTCTGTGATGAGCCCCTGGTCCTGTGCTGAGCTTCCACAGATGCATTTGGGAGTCTTGGTCTGATGCCATCTTATTCCAAAGTGATCTACGGTGGCTGCACCTTTCCCATAAGGTGCTGGCTTTGTACCCGTGAGCAGTAGGCTTCTCCTGTCTTCGTCCCTTGGTGTCTTTAAGAATTTTAGTGAAAAAGCCGTAGAGGCAAACAAGAAATGTCAGTCAGTGGAGTGAAAATAGAAGCTCCCTCTGTCACGGCACTCTTTGGTTCAGGTGCTGACGCTCATCTTGACATCCCATCGGAGTGCAGGGCCACGCAGCCAAAGACGCTGCCGTCATCTGCGGTCGCGCTGAAACTTCTCTGGGGTATGACAAGTGTTTCCGAAAACTCTCCTATAATGATGCCAAGACAAGGCTGTCAGCTGAGATACCTGGAGGTAGAAACAGCGGGCCCTCGCCGGTCCCTGCACCTTCGCCTTCATAACCATTTGCTAATTTTGTGGCTTACAAATAATTGCCTGTTTTATTCTTGCATATTTCTGCTGTCTGGGCAGTGCTGCTTCGGCGAAGGCCTGATTTCTTTCTGTGTGTCTTGGAAGTTGGAACAGAATGATCCCCTTGGATGTTCACTCGTGCACGTGTTTGGATATGTGTGTTTTTCTTGACTTCCTGATTGGAGTCTATTCTGAGAGTCAGCTATGGTACAGCAGGAAGAAAAACCACTGGAGCTGGAGCCAGAATTCTCGAACGGGAGTCTTTGCTTTGCTGCTCACTAGTTATGTGGCCTTGGATCATTCAGTTACCCTTTTGGAGTCTATTTCATCATTATAAAGTGAGAACAATAATATGTTCTTCCCAGAGCAATTGTGAGGATGATATGAGACAGTGAGGGGACGGTGAGCTAACTCTGTGTGAATGCCACATGTACTTACTATGGATATTCCACTTCTCCACTGCTGCCTAAGATCACCCAACACTTAATGGTTTAAAGCGGCACACATTATTTTATTAGCACTTGTGGTTTTTGTTGAGTCAAAGATTTGGGAAGGGCTTAGCTTAGTGTTTCTGGTTTGGGGTCCCTCATACAGTTGTCACGTGTTTGTGGCTGGACCTGGAGCAGTGGGCAATGGCCCTGCATCTCTTTGTTTTTGTCAACTTGGGGCTTCTCCCTGTGGTCTGTATGGGCTAGTTGGGCTTCCTTGCAACATGGCGGCTCTGAAGTAGCACACAGCCATCTCTCAGTGGGAGTCACGTCAAGGAATCTGTGGGTGCACTTTAAAACTGCCACGATGGATATTGTTGTTATGGAAAGTGGGTGAATGGTACCCTCTGATGTCAGACCCTTCCTTAAAAAAGTATCGATCTTTCCTTCTGCTCCTTGCATTTGAGCTTCATTTCTCAGTAGTAACGTATTAGTAATGAAAGTTAAGCTTTAGTCAGCCCCTGCAGTGTACCAGACATCATGATAAGGCTTTACAAAAATATTAATACCTCGTGTAATCCACACAACATGCCTTCTTCATGTGACGGATGAGAAAACTACAGCTAGGAAAGGTTGCACAATCATTTCAAGGTCACACAGCCAGGAAGAGGTGGAGATTGGTTTGAAACCCAGGCAGTTTGCTTCTGGGACCAGCACCCTCGTCAGCTGCTGAGCCCCCATCCTTACTGTGTGCCCGG